GTAGATTCGTCGAGCGCTATAGAAAAATACTCAAAACTTCTCGATTTCGTAGCTAATTGCTCTTCTATATTATCTGCTAATGCGGTAATTCTTCTTTGAACAGTCATCCGATTTAACTGAATTTTTTCAAACTTCTTTACATTTTCCGGACAATTTTTTTTTGCGGCGATATCCAAACATTGCTTAACAAACTCACCATCTTTAAAAGGCCGACAAGTTTTCGCTATTATTCGAGATATTTCAAAGCTAACTTCAGTGGCTGTTTCAGCATCTTGAATTGGTTTTGTAAACATAGATTGCTGGCCTATTAGTTCCCGTTGTAAAGTGGAAATTCTTTGCGTTCGATTTTCGCCAGTTAATTTGGTAAAAGTTGGATGCTGGGTTTCATAGTGCCTTTTCACATTATATTCCTTCGGAATAGAAACACTACTCTTGCATATTAAACAGACAATTTTGTTATGCGATGAAATAAAAAAGTATTTTTCGGTCCAAATATCATGAAACTGTCGATTTTCATCTTCAACCTTACGACTACGTTTCTTACTGGGGCCTGGTTTATCCATATCAAAATTAATATTATATGTTACAGTCGGTAAAAGCCAAGTTCGAACGACGAAATATTTACTCGTCACAGATTACAGTTCTCAAACAGTATAACGTTCGCTTATCCGTAGTCAAAACTTAACTGCCCCGGTAGCCGGCGATGCGTCGTATTTATACGAGTTACCAAACATCGAGAACCATCCACTTTGTTCGGGGATCGACGTGTTTCGCGAATCTGTAATCTAGTTGATGCGACACATTTCTAGTCTCGTAATAATATGCTTGGACCGGAGCGCGGCGAGTAGAATACTTTTAAAATTCGTTGGCGGGCCGCATAAACATCGACAGCGGGCCGCGGTATGTGCATCCCTGTTTTAGGGCATCATTTTAACTCGGTCATAATTTTCAAATTTTAAATGCTTTTCCGTTTTTTACGTCCGGCATATTGGGTCCACCATCTTTAATTCAGGAATTTTCGGATTTGGACTTCAGATTCGTAATCAGCGACCCCAAAAACCCGCGGTAACAAAATTCAGGTAGAAATGTTGAAATATGTGACTTAAAGAAGGTAAGTGGGACCCTGATCTGTAGGTGGTTTCCAAGTCTATGGGGGATAAGTTATATTATTTTTTTTTTTGGTGTGTTATCAATCAACCTAGCTTTATTTGGTAGTATAAAATACAAGGCTATTGTTTTTCACGTTATTTGGCACTAACACTTGTTATTTGATTTTGGGCATGGAATTAACCCCTTGTAGGGGTGGCTGTGACTTTAATTTGCATATATTTCTATTTATTTATTTATTTATTTAAATACACATCCAGCAGGTGATGCCCAATAATAGGATATGTTAAGTCTAGTAATAAAATATAAAAAAAGTTCAAAGAGAAAAAGTAACTATGAAAAAAATAGAGAAAAAAATAGTACAAACTTACAAATAACACAGATATACAGAACAAAATAAAAGGCAAACAAACTAGAAAAGACAGATATGACTACATAAGTAAAGCATATATCATTAGGCATACAACAAAAAACATCGACAATGATGATGCTACTAGGATGTTACTACGTGCTGCGGACTAAAAACATTATTACTTCTAGCTGATAGACGCGGTACTTTGATATCAATATTACTTAAAACACCTGGATAGTTCTAAATGTTATGTAGAACTTTATACAAAAACATTACTTGAAAAACAGATCTTCTTTTAGCAAGGACATGAATATTGAAACGCTCAAGTAATAGATCATGCGGAAAACCCTGAGGGGGATATGTACCATCCAATAAGTAGGTTACACAGCTGATTTCATAAACCTACGCTGTACTCTTTCCAAAGTTGCAATTTAATTAGCATAAATTGGGTTCCAGACTATTGATGCATATTCTAATTTAGAACGAATAAAGGTAGTGTAGAGCAATCGTAGTGTAGAAATACTGGTAAAGCCTTTGGAATTCCTTATCATGAACCCCATATTCTTGAAAGCAGATGACGCAATCATGTCTATATGTTTTGTAAAAGATAATGTAGGGTCAAATGTAACTCCAAGGTCTTTTATATAATCGGGTCTATGCAATATTATATTATCCAATTTATAATCGAATAGTACTGAATTTTTTTTTGGTGAATGTAATGATATTACACTTCGAAACATTTAGCGTTAAATTATTATTTAGACACCACAAACTAATGACATTAAGCGCATCCTGTAACGTATAGCAGTCGGCAATGGTGTTTATTTCGCAAAATAGCTTAAGGTCATCTGCATACATTAAATGTAGATCAACCATGATGTTGTTTACAAAAAGAACAAAGAGTAAGGGTCCGAGTATAGATCCTTGAGGCACACCAGATATTTGATGAAACTTGTGCGATTTAAAGCCATGATGCTGAACGAACTGATACCGATTTTGTAAATATGATTCAATGAGTTGCAAAAGTGATTCGGACACATCAAACCTATCTAGTTTATACAGCAAGAGGTGTTGGTCGAGTCTGTCAAAAGCTTTAGT